GAAGTAGAAGTGGGATTCGGACATTGATTCTGGTTCATGCCATTCAACATTATTATTGTTATTTTTGTTTGAATAAGAGAGGAGGAGATAAGGAGGAAGAGATTGGTTGGTGGAGAAGAAGAGCCTTGTCTTTGTTATATGCTGGAGTACATCATCCTCTTCTATCTTACTTCTTCATCTTCTTCTCACCCTCTCTCTCCTCTCTCAAGTTCATTCATTTCTATTTGCAGTTGGATGGCATTGTACTTTCTGATCTTTGCATACTTCGAAATTGGCCAGGATCGTAACAGTTTTTGAGTTTTCTCAGTTCTGAAGTTTTCTGAACATGACAGTTGGTGAGTTTTTTTTTTGTTTTTGTTTTTTTTTTTCCTGAAATTTACTGCGGTGAAACTGGGTGGCAGTTGAACCCTCTGGGATTTAAATCTGCAGCCAACAAGCTAAAGAGGACCACCTCCTTCACCCGAATAGAACACCCCATCACTATACCTGTATTTGGGCCACTTTTCAGTCAAGATACAGCTGTGATGACCAGGGGCTCTGTTCAGGTGAAGATGATAATCCTCCCACTGAAAAACAGTGCCGTTTGGCCGAAAGAGAGTGAAAATGTGGCCAGTGTCAGAGAGCTGGGGTACCCCTGTATTTGGCCCACTTTTCAGTCCAGGCACAGCTGTAATGACCCTGTATTTGGCCTCCTCCATCTTTTGCGACAGTTTTTCAGCACTGAAAAGAGTGTGGACTCTGTGGAGTGACACAACACGCAGCAGGCGCAAAGAGCGAACCACCTGCCCTCTTCCCTCGAACACAACGCACCCTACACGGACGTGTTATGTTCGTCGGAGGAAGCCGGTAGCGGCCGATTAGCAAGACACGAAGAAAAGGCAAGGGTACACTAGGAAGGCAACACAAAGGAAGTGCAAAAAGATGAACGCAGAGAGGGAATAACAGAAGCAACCAATAACTAAATTTACCCAAAAAAAAAACAACAACGATAGAGATCAACGCAGAGCGGAAAGCAAAATCGAAAGAGGAGAGAGGGAGGAGGATGGGTAGGGTATACATAAGCATCAGATACTCACCTAGACCTCTGGTGAGCTCCTGCCCAATTTGTACTCTGTGGTTGGCAGCGGATTGAAGCAGCGCTTGTGCGTCTGTGTTAACCGCCCAGAAGTCAACCCCCTACTCTTTGAACCCACACCACGAAACGAATCAATGCATCCACCCGCCATCAGAAAGTAAATACAAGTTCTTGGACGCAACCCCCCCTTGCAGCAAAACAAAACCAAAGCAACAAAGGAGAAAAGCCACCAGTTCCTCCTAATGAACTGTTGGGAGAAAAAAAATTAAAAAAAAAAAAAAATGTTGAAATATGAATGAGCCTAGGCTACCAGCCGGGCGGCCCGGGTCCCGGGTGCCCAGCCCGTGCAAGGACCAGGGAAGGTCCCAGCAAAAAAAAAAAAAAAAAAAAAAAATCTAAAAAATCCAAAAAAAAACTATGTTATGCAGAAAAATAAACTGAACAACTTTTGCCTCAGGGTCACATCGAAATTCTTCACCAATTTTAATATAAAAAAAAGAACTTTAAAATATTTATTATTTTTTTAATTTTTTTAATTTTTTTTGCCCGGGCGGGCAAGTGACCCCGGGCCACTCTGGTAGCCTAGAATGAGTCCCGATTTCGAATCCAGATGCAATCGGGGGGGGGGGGAGGAAGTTTTACTTTTTTTTTTTAAAAGGGGAAAAAAAAACAAATAGAGGAGAAGAATACACATGGCAGAGTGGTGGCAATACACATACCTGCAGGCCAGAGCCAATCATCCGGTTGACTGCATTTCCGCCACCACCTCCAACTCCAATGACTTTGATTCGCGCGTTATCAGCAGAAACAGTTTGCGGAATCATTTTCGCGGTTTCGTCGAAAGCGGGAACCTGCTGTCTCACCGCAACTTCTCGCCACCGAGACCTGCGTCCCAAGAACTCCGGCGTGAGCTTCTCGTTCGGTACACATGCCGGCGATGCAGACACAGCCGCCCTTGCTTTCACCGCTGATGCGGCTGGTAGTCCGCCAACTGGCATCATTGGGCACGACGACGTGGCACCCTGCGATCGTGTGAGTGTGACGCCTGTCGTTACACCTAGCCTCATTAAGCTTCCCATCCCTACGCTGCCTGCAGAGGACACCCATCGCTCCAAACAACTCGATTGGCCAGATGGCGAAGAACGGAGGCTAAGGCCTGCAGAATTCTGAGAGAGAGACGCACAAGCGAACAATTGCACAATTGGAAAATTTAGAAAATTATTGCCCTGTCCTTCGGGACATCCGTTAAAATTGGAACAACACAGAGAAGATTAGCATGGCCCCTGCACAAGGATGACACGCATAAGTCGAGAAATGGTCCACATTATTTATTAAAAAAAAAACCTTGCCTTCAGACAGATAATAACTCTCTCTCTCTCTCTCTCTCTCTCTCTCTCTCTCTCTCTCNTCTGCTCTCCCCTTCCTGCTCTCTCCCCTTCCTGCTCTCTCCCCTTCCTGCTCTCCCCTGCGTGTTGCTCTCACTTGCGTCCTGCTCTAACGTGGGCGAGTTCTGGTCTCACCTGCGTACTTCATCCTGTCCAGCATCCTCTTCGGGGCTTGTTCGTTCACGTCCCTATGTAGCATTCCGTTCCTTTGCTAACCACTGCCGATATGTGACAAGGATGGATATTACGATGGATTAAGGATGGATTAAGGATGGATTAAGGATTGATTAAGGATGGATTAAGAAGGAGAAACACGAAATTTCGGCACAGCTGTAGGAGGGGGGAGGTTCGAGATCGACAGTCTAAGGGCCTCGGAAGACCACCGTCGAAATGAAAAACGGACGAATGCATCTGGCCGGGGAGGAGGGCATCTTACCACTTTCTGCGGTAGATCCATATTCCTTAACGGAAGGAGCGGGCTCGTGATTCACAAGCATGTGACTAACGTGCGAACCTAACTCGTTTAGGTATTTTGCTATTTTCGCCCGCCCTAATACTGGGGTATGTGTAGACCCAATCAAATCGGTCGGTTGATTGTTGGACGCAATCAGTTATACCTACCGCCACGTCTAATTAGTTAAATCAAGCTGCCTACCGTCTTCCCGCGATCATACCGCACCCTAAAAATCAATGTATACAAGCTATATTTCCGGCCAGAAACAGCCAAAATGAGGGTGCGTTGTGTTCGGGGGAAGACGGTAGCAAACAAAACAAGTTCAGGCGTCCGAACTGAGAAATGTTTGTGTCCAAAAAGTTTAGAAGTCATTTTCTCCTATAGCATCTGACACCTAACAGCTGCTTAAAAATGAATGTATACAAGCTATATTTTCGGCCAGAAACAGCCAAAATTAGGCTGCGTTGTGTTCGGGGGAAGACGGTAGCAAACAAACAAGTTCAGGGGTCCGAACTGTGAAATGTTTGGGTCCAAAAAGATTAGGAGTCATTTTCTCCTATAGCATCTGACACCTATCAGCTGCTTAAATGGGTTGGGATACCATGGGTCTAAAATGGGTTGGGATACCATGGGTCTAAAATGGGTTGGGATACCATGGGTCTAAAATGGGTTGGGATACCATGGGTCCAAAATGGGTTGGGATACCATGGGTTGGGATACCATGGGTCTAAAAAGGGAAATTAGAGCCAATCAGTTTGGTTTGATGGCGCTGAGCAATGGAAATTCCGTTTGTCTAAATCGGTTCATCTATTGAAATAGGCCCAAAGGAAGAAGGAAGGAGAAGAATTACCTGCGTTATTTTTTAAGGGGGGAAAAGAATTACCTGCGTTATTTTTTAAGGGGGGAAGAATTACCTGCGTTATTTTTTAAGGGGGGAAGAATTACCCGCGTTATTTTTTAAGGGGGGGAAGAATTACCTGCGTTATTTTTTAAGGGGGGGGAAGAATTACCTGCGATATAAGGCTATCCTGGCTTTTTTCCGAGTTTGGAGGGGCAAAAAGGAAAATTTCCGTTTGTGCAAATCGGTAGCAGTATTTCGCCGAAAAAGAAGGGGGGGGGGGAATCCCCACCAGCGTTAATAAGGGCTTTTAGCTCCACTACTCAACCACATGCACAAAAGGAAAAAAAATGGCGCAATGAATGAATCTTTCCAGGTTCTAGCAGAAGATTCATTCTCGTTTTGAACATTTGGGGAGTAGTGGAGAGAGGCCCTGAGACCGGAGATGCCTGACAGATCCATTTCCATTGCCATCCAACTCATTAAAAGCTTGGTTAGGAAATAAGGCAATCCTGCGAAAAAAAAAAAAAAAAAAAAAAAAGGAAAAAGGAGAAGTCAGGCTATCCTGGCCTTTCTGAGTTTCGAGGGGCAAAAAAAAAAAAAAAAAAAAAAAATCATTACTTTCCAACGGGGAGGAGATGTTCGACTCGCACGGACTAAGAAATATCAGGCGTTTAAAAAAAGAAAAAAACACAAACATCAGCCGTTGATCTTCATTGTCGTTATCGACGGCCGGTATCTGCTAATTTATACAGCAAAAAAAAAAAAAGGATTTGTGCCTCTACCCTCTTCACCCAAATAGAACGCCAAGTCACCGTAGCTGTATCTAGACTGGAAGTTGAGCTAAATGACCGGGCGTTCTATTCGGGGTGAAGACGCTCGAAGGAAAGAAGTGGGAGGGAGGAGACTAGACGAGACGAGACGAAGACAAGACTAGATGCATTGCAACGAAGATGAGACTAGATGCATTGCACGGATTATCAGAGATACCGCCGCCTTTTCCAAAAGAAGGAAGACAAGCTCCAGAAAAACGTTGACAAAAAAAAAAGAACCAATAAAAAAAAATAAAAATAAAAAAGCGTCCGATTGTTTGCTGCTCTCAGGACCGGGCCTTTTTTTTTTCTTTTTTTTTCCTCCTTGCAAGGGCGACAACATTGAGTGAGGCATCATCGTCCAACTGACCGGCCTCAGGTCATTCATCAGGGTTATGGAATTCATCTGATTCCATCACCAGGATTCGAACGCTGGTCTGTTTACCGACAGTTCATGGGGGGTACATTTTAAGAGAGAGAGAGAAAGCAAGGGTAAGCTGAGCAGAGAGGGAGACAAGAGAGGAGGAGGAGGAGGAGGAGGAGGAGGAGGAGGAGGAGGAAGACCAGAGAGGGACTCTGGTCTGTTATATCGACAGTCCATGGTGGGTACATTTTAAGAGAGAGAGAGAGAGCAAGGGTAAGCTGAGGAGAGAGGGAGACAAGAGGAGGAGGAGGAGGGAGGAGGAAGACGAGAGAGGGACTCCGGTCTGTTATATCGACAGTTAATGGGAACGTGAAAGCCGAGGAGAGGGGGGGGACAAATACACGAGATTTTTGGGGTTGAGTTTTTGGGGAAAACAAAGAAAACCAAAAGAGCCAACTGCGGGAGAGGAAAAAGGAGGCCTATTAAAAAAAAAGAAAAAAAAAAAAAAAAAGGAGGCCGCACTTATTTGCCGAACCTGAATTTCACTGCGCACCGAGTTTTGTCGAGCCTGGATCTCATTCTAGTTTCTTTTCTGGTACTCACAGTCGTCCCACCCAAAAAAAAAGAAAGAAAAAAAAAAAAAGAGAAAGAAGAAAAAGACGGCAGTCCCGTCCAAAAACACACACACACAAAAAAAAAAAAAAAAAAGAAAGGAAAAAAAAAAGAGAAGATAAAGACGGCAGTCCCATCCAGAAAAAAAGAAAGAAAGAAAAAAAAAAAAGAAAAAAAAAAACAGAAAAAAAAGAAAAAAAACTTCGCTAACGCCGTGATGATAGCCATCACAGATACATTGTATGAGGAGGTGCGCGTGAGACTGTGCCCTCAGTGGGGCCATCTGTCCCATACGAAAACAAATGAAGAAACCAAAATGGGCCCCTTGGCTCAGTCAATACACCCCCCCTGAACTGTTCAAACATGAATCAGACCCAAGTTCGAATCCAGAAACACTCAGATGACCACCAGAATCAAAGCATTCTAAATTACCTGGGGCCGCCGAAAAAAAAATCCCCTATGCTGTGGTTGCGGTCAGATACAGAACGCTAGAGTGCTGGTGAGGGTTGTCGCCCTTTTTACAACCCAAAAAAAAAAAAAAAAAAAAAAAAAAAAGACCTTGGCTTAGTTGGCTAAGCAGTGCACAGGTATGCAGAATAAAGTCCAAAATTGGATAGAGCACCTGAATCTGGATGTGTTTTACGCAGAGATGCAGAAAAGCAGATCAATTGCAAGTATCGACACCTCTCCACAAACACGTCCAGATTCAGCCGCTAAATCCAGTTCTCTTTGCCTAGTAGCTCCGTGGGCAGAGCACCGGTTGGAAAATTGGAAAAGAGCATTGTCGTCTGAGGTCGTGGGTTCAAAACTCTGCAGCCTTGCGCATGGACACCGACGGCCATTAACGGACGCACAGCTGTTCACACACACCCCTTGGGTTGGTGCATGGAAAGGACTACAAACACAGTCGGTACCACCAAAGGGATTCGTTCAGTCAATGGTTGTTGTATGTTGGGTCTAGGCTATGAGAGGTTTGCCTGATGTTCGTGGTCCATGGGGGTGGTCCGATGATTGCATACTTGTCCCCGGGTCTAGTGCAGCGCATGAACAGACTACCGTCGTCCTCTGACCATAACGCATGTGTTGTATTCGAGTTTCCGAAAAAGATCGAAAACTCGTATAGAACACATGCATTGTACTCGAAAATAAGACCTGTTCGAACAGAACATACGTGCTGTATACAAATAGAAAGCAACCTATGTGTGGTATTCATTTACAACACATATGCGTTATGTTCGGGGAGAAGACGGTAGTTGTCATGGTAGCTCAGTGGGTTTGAGCTAGGAGCTGTACGGACGAGGTCGAGGGTTCAAATCTGATCAGGCGGGGCAGATCATACTTGCACAGACGTAGCTGGGATGCATGCAAGGAACTGTTAAGGCATAGATCATGCGAGTTGGTTACCTTCGGGTGGGGGCAGGGCTGCAAGTGGGACAAAATAGGGGGGTCCCATTAGATGGGGGGAATGAGGTACAAGAGCTCCGAGGTAGGGGCCCCCTGGGGTATAAACCAGAATAAACCCGGTCGATGATAGAGGTAAGAGGAACGTTTGGGGGGTCTAGTACATACAGATGACTGTGACCGGTGCTGTTCGGGATAACGACTCTAGGGTGGATCTTGCAGTAGGGACTCTCTTAGGATAGATAACGGTGGGATGGCCTGCTTCCCGCGTTGACGAATGGCATACAACCGACAAAGATCACAATAACAAATGATACAATCACAATAATGCGACTAGAGAGGGGTCTAGCGGGACGTCTATGGGTAGAGAGGGTCAGATAGGGGGCCCTACATCTACTGATAATAGGCTAGAACCTCTAGGTCGCAATGGCAACAACAGCGGTACATACAACGAACAATAGAACAACTTAGGGGGGATAGGAATAGGTCCAGCTATGGGACTTGTAGAAGAACCTCTATACCTAGCGCCCGAAGTAACCGTGGGGGAAAGGCCTCGTCTGACTACGCTTCAATCAGGGCTGAGTGGGGTAGGTGGGGTCCTGCTTAGCCCTGGTGCCTACAACCGCTGTTCGGTCAGGTCACCCCCGTCGAGACGACTGGAGGGTGATAATCCTGAGTGGTCGACACTGTGGTAGGATTATGGGGGTAGGCGGGGTGCGCCAGGGACAAATAAGCACGGAGTCTCATAATAGGGAATAGGGACCTCTACAGCCCATATGGATAACCACATGGCCGATTACCGAAGGTGACTGACGTACATCTAGCATCCAACCTCTACAGCAACCTGGGCTTAAACCACCAGTACCTTTCCCCACTTGAAAATCAAACCCGGGCTGATATATCCAATATCCGGAAGCCAAATGGAATCGGGCCGCCGTTGATAACTTTCGTCGGCAGCCTGTTTTCTGTTTCGGGCAAAGGTATTGGTGGTTTGGACCACCACTACCTTTCACGCTGTGAGGCTAAGTCTTAAAAGTAGCCTGCTCCCCATTCTTCGGAGGCCGGCAGAGGCTGGGCGAAACTGGACAACAAAGGCTGGCGGCGCCAGTCAACAGAAAAAAAACATGCCGTGTTGGAGCTTCAGCACCCCATTGGCGCACAGTTCGACTCCACCTCGGCAAAACGAGGCTCGGGGGTAGTGGTTTTTAGAAAAAAAAGGGGAAAAAAAGACTCAAGGCATGCACATTTATCGCGTTGCAGAAACAACAAGGCCCGTACTCACGCTGGGACTTCTGTGACTGAACTTGGCCTTGATTTCTGTCAGGTAAGTCGACGGAAGTCCTAGTATGAGCATGCCCTAACTCCGCCATGACTTCTTCGACGGACACATCCATAAACAGACCACCTTCAGTAATGGCATGGCCTTGCCCGACGAGCATGCCGATCGTGGCTGGGAACAGCCTAAGGTGAGGGACTGGGGGGGTGACAAGTGCTGAGCAAAAGTCATTACCACATATATACACCTAACAATCCAAACTATATTTTACCCTCCGATAGAACATACAGTCATTATAGCTGCATTTGGCACAACTTTCACTCCAATTGAAGCCATAATGTCCATACGGGGTACAATGCTAACGCTACAGACAGATCCATAACCGCTCATTTGTCACACCGAAGAACAGTTGCACCTACCGCCTTACAGCTTTGGGCATGTCAATGTTGGGGACCACTAACCGATTGATGGACTTAAACCGCCAGTACATCCGAGCCTCTTTTCACCGAGGCAGATTAATAGCATCCTCCTAATTTAAGTGATCCCCTACTAGGACGCTCCTATTGGTGGGGAGCCTCACCTGCTTGAAACCGGGTCCAATGTCCCTTACATCATTTACGCTGGTGCTGCCAGCCATTTTGGTCCAGTAGCACTGTTCGTCCGAACTTTTCAGAATGACTACTTTCAGGTTCTGACGTTTGCCTGCGGCAGTGTACTTGCGGTTCAACGACTGAAGCCAAACTTAACTTGCCGAACCGTCTTCATCCCTGACGCAGGACTTGCCCAACATGAGGACAAGTTGCAGCTGGAATAAAAACATCATGTCGCCTATGTGAACTGTCCTGATCGCAATCCAACTGTCCATGACGGCAACCAGGTTTTTCTTCCTACCAACTACCCTACTACTGTGTTCACCCAAACACAATGTACAGTCCTTAGAACTGAACGGACAACTTGGATCTAGATACAGCAATAATGACCATATGTTGTACTCGAGTGAACTCAGTAGACCGCTAACGGCTGTGAGAGAACTGCCCGCTGGCCTCCTCGTTGACAAGCGCACACTTCAGAGAAGCCCGCCGCCCAGTGGCAGTTCGAACATAACCAGTGTGCCCTATTGTGGCTCTCATTGCCACAAGGTAGTCCCGGCGCAAAATCCACTGAAATAAACGTCCATCCGATTTGCCAAGGAGGCCGACAAATGCCTGCCCCCCCCCCTCCCTCCCCAACCCTCCCCGCTGCACGATTTGAGACAAGCACTCTTGTGGTTTAATAATAAGGCCCCTAAAAGGGTTTAAACCGCCAGCACCTTTCCCTGCTTGAAAAACAATTACACGACCGTTAACACGGGCAACTTCCGGGCCTGGGCCGCCGTTGGTTTCGTTGGCAGCCCGTGCTGTGTTCCGGGTCTCCGAAAGTCGCGGTGAGGGGCCCACGGCCAATATACGGGAAAGGTGCTCGTAGTTTAAGCCACCGGTACGAACACCGTACTCCAAAACTTGCAGCCATATACATGCCGCAAAATGAAATGCGCGACCTGCCCAACCCTAGGGGGGGACTGGGGTAGAGTGCTAAATTCCGAGTACCCCAACTTTTGCAATTTTGAATTCGCATTTCCGTCAACGACAAAATCCCAAAAGAAGTCGGGGACGTAGGATAGGTTCCGCTGTAAAGGGGGGAAATTAAAAAATGACCAAAAGAACTGTACCCAGCGTATGTCGATCAAAGTCGCCGTGACGTGGTAGGCATGACGTTTCCCACTCCACAGGCCAGGGTCGTCTTGTCCTTCAGCTTGACAACCTAGGATACTACGGGCATCACCTGACCACTCCTGGAGAGTGGAAAAGACAAAATCAATGGCAGGTGTTTCTTTCTGGGTTTTTGAGGAAGATGCATGCTCCATTTTGCACATTCTGGGGGTGGTGTGGCGAGGCGCTAGAACTGGTACACTAGAAGTGAGTCACCAACCTTTTGATCTCAACAGCATCTGCTCTAGATCCTCCTGTTATGATAACAAGTGAACCCGCCGCAGTGCAGCGGAGGAGGTGGGCAGCAGCAGAAGATGCAGTGAAACTGAAGAGACGTTTGCGAAAAGACGTTTGCAAATCTCTCTCTCTCTCTCTCTCTCTCTCTCTCTCTCTCTCTCTCTCTCTCTCTCTCTCTCTC